ATGTATGTATGTATGTATGTATGTATGTATGTATGTATGTATGTATGTATGTATGTATGTATGTATGTATGTATGTATGTATGTATGTATGTATGTATGTATGTATAGGTTATTCAGTCTCTTTCTTTGCAAATCTATCGAGTTCATCCAAGTCCATTGCATATAATTCAATTCATCGAAATCATGACATTTTTTTACTATCTTACCAGCTATGTAACTCGGGATATGTTCTTATGTTTTTCATTGCTTTTTTGGAGCTATGGCCCTGAGTTACATAGCTTGATAAGAAAATAGCGTAGGTTGCAGTCTTGCAGAGATCTCAGTGTAAATTTGATTCTAATGGATGAATTGATGGTGTGGCGTATGTGATAGTTACTTACTTAGATGGTGTGGCGTCCCGCGCCTTCCCGCCGCCTACGACGTGGAGCTCCGTCGGGCTGCTGCCGGCGCCGCCCTCCTCCTCTCCCGCCGACCATCCTACGGGCAGAGAGAGAGAGATACGAGGAACCGAGAAAGAGAAGAGTGGGGGAGAGAGATGACACAGCCTAACATGTGGGTCCCACGCTGACTCAGCCGCAACATAGGATAAAACCGGTGTCAAAACCACCAAAGGACATATTGTCACCGGTTTTGATTAGTTGTGGATATCTGGTTTTCTGGTTTGGATGACAAGTTGAGGGACCTTCGGTGTACTTTTTCCTCTGGGAAACCCAATCAGGCATTCAGGCCTAAGCCATTCAGCCCAACTATCAACCATGTAACCCTAGCTCTAGGTGCTCTCCAGTCTCTCTCCTGCTCTCCACCCACACAGCCGCCCGCCAGCATCTGCATCTGCATCTCCCTCTGCGCCAGCGACGGCCGGCGCGCCCCATCGCCGCCTCCGCCGTCGACTTGCCCCATCACCGCCAACGAGGCGTTCTGCCGCCTGGCGCCGCTCGTCACGTACGAGGACATCCTCCGCATCGCCAACGGCGACACCTCACCATCCTATCCGGCAAGCCTGTCAGCGAGTTCCTCACCAGGTAAGTGCTCGATCTACTCCCTGCATGCGTACATGGTCGACCACTTCGGGAGGGAAGAGGAATATAACTATGTACTGTGACTCTGCGAGTCCATGGTTGTGTTTAGTTCACGCTAAAATTAAAAGTTTGGTTGAAATTGAAACGATGTGACAGAAAAGTTATAAGTTTATGTGTGTAGAAAAGTTTTTATGTGATGGAAAAGTTAAAAGTTTGAAGAAAAAGTTGGGAACTAAACAAGGGTATGACTGCTATGTGCTAATGAGTAATGACCTGATGTGTGTGACTATGTCAGTGTGTGATACTGTGATGTGTGTGAGTCAGTGAGTGACTATGTTAGTGTGTGCAAGTTTGTGCTAATGACCTAATGTTAATCTGTGTGACTATGTCAGCCGTCAGCGTGTGCAAGTTTGTGGATGTTTGTCGATATGGTATTATTAATCGCTAAAACTTGAAAATGTTGACATTTTCTATTAGAAAAAATAATGAAGTTATATTTCTTCGTTGATTTGTGATGCTTAGTTTGAGGGGTTTTTATGTTCCGATTAATATTTGTCACCGCATTCGTTTCGTTTCGTATTCGCTCCGTATCTGTATTCGATAATATTCAATCCTGTTTTCATATCCGGTTCTGATTCCAATTTTGAAAAAATAATATGAAAACAAATATGATAGAGCTAGTTTCTGACCGTATTCGATCCGCTTTCATCCCTAATCCCAGCAGTTTAGTATGCATTGCAGCCAATATTTTCTCATGGACAAGGCGCTGAAGTGAGAGACGACAGACGAAGAGGTGAAAAAAATGGAGTCATGTTTTGTAACGCCCCACGAGGACACGCCAGAGACGATAGAAGAAGAGGTGAAAGAGATGGAGTCTTGTTTTGTAACGCCCCACGAGGACACGCCAAGGCAAGGGCTCTGGCTCTCTCCCCTCGACATAGTCATGGTCAGCAGAGGCCATACCCCTACTGTGTACTTCTACCAACGTGACACTGCCACTGTTGCTGCCGATTTTTTCGAGGTAGGCAGGCTTAAGGAGGCTATGGCAAAGGCCCTAGTGGCCTTCTACCCCTTGGCAGGCCGTCTCAGTGTAGATGGTGATGGTAGGCCTGAAATTGACTGCAATGCCGAGGGTGCGCTCTTTGTTGTGGCTCAGTCAAAACTCACCGTTGATGCCTTCAGCGACCTTAAGCCATCACCAGAGTTGAGGAGGTTGTTTGCCCCCCGTATTGAGCCAGCATCCATCATGCTTGGAGTACAGGTCAGTATATATCTAGTTTGTGTGTGTATGTGTGTATATTCAATTGTATAGAGCTAGCTTTGGACTAGTGTGGTGATATGTACCTAGGTGCACATTAATTATTCCTTGCAGGTGACTTTCTTGAGTTGTGGTGGTGTGGCATTAGGGACGGTGTTGCACCATGTCGCCATCGATGCCCTTAGCGCGTTCCATTTCTTCCAGACATGGTCTTCTTTCTGCCGAGATGGTGAAGCCGCCATGTTGGAGCTGCCCTGCCATGAACGCACCCTCCTCCGCACACGCTCCCCACCTATCGTCCACCCGGATGTGCACTCAATGTTCAGTCTAAAGCTCAACTTCTGTGAGCCATCAGACCCTATATCCACCAAGATATTCGTCATCTCCAAGAACCAGCTCGATGCCCTTAAACAAATATGTGGTGGATTGAGCACATTTTGTGCCATGAGCGCCCTTGTATGGCAGTGCATGTGCATTGCTCGGCAACTCCCTCTAGACGCCGAGACACGCGTCATCTTCCCAGTCAACATTCGGCGCCGTGTGAAGCCACCTCTCCCAGATCGCTACTTCGGCAATGCACTTGTCGACTTGAAAGTAGCCTCCACAGTTAGGGACATTGTCTTGGGGACACTGGATGTAACTGCTGCCCAGATAAAGAACGCATTGGGACGCCTTGACGATGAGATGCTGCAGTCGGCGATAGACTACAATGAGATGGCAGGGATGCCCAACAAGCATACCAAGGGAAACCTGCCAGATACAGAATTACGAATGGTCTCTTGGCTAGGCATGCCAGTTTATGATGCGGATTTTGGGTGGGGGAAGCCGGAGATGATGTCTCGTGCGGAGTCTGTGCGTGGCGGATTTGTTTATATGATGGATGGCATTGACAACGATGGGGGTGGCGTGCGTGTGCTCATGTGTATGGAGGCACGAAAGATGGAGGAGTTCGAGCGACTGTTTTATGCCAAGTTTGCACAATGAAGAAACTACCTAGCTAGAACATGATGCATGTTTTCTGTTCTATTATCAATAATGGATGTTTCATGTAATAATATAACCAAATACCTCCATATATTTTGGTGGCATGGTTGTTTCAGACATGACAGGGTGTGGTTGATTTACGCGGACACCACAAAAATGTGGTTGATTTACACCAATGAGCTTTTTTTAAGATAATTAAAATGGATTATATCCCTAGGCCCCCAGCCCCTGCCGTTAGGGTAAGTTTGGTCACAGGAAATCGGGATGGACAGTAATCTTAATGTAATCCTAACCATGGCAATCAGGCAATAGAGAATGTAAACATTCGTAGAAGCGTACTCCCTCCGTTAAAAAAAAAATCAACTTCTAGAGTTTGAATTTTATCTCACAAAAAACCAATTTTTATACTCCTACCTACCCTCCGCACGTAAAACGAGAAGTTTTATTCCTTCAATACCCTTTAACAACATGTCACTCTTACTATTTTTTTAATGATTAAATGTATTTTAGTCATTCTCACTCTCTGCTAATTTTATCTAGGGATGCTAGGAATTGACTCTTTGTGGGACCGAGGGAGTAGGCGTTAATTCCTAATGCCGTGTATTAATTCCCAGAATGTTGGTTAGCCGGAATATCCTATATCTCTAACTAACATTCCTGGTGGTTTTATCAAACATAGGAATCAACTAGAATTACTCCACGATTTATGGGAATATATATAATCAACATTCTTGTAACCAAACACACACTAGACCAATGGAAATGTTTTTTTTAAAAAAAAATCCAAGTCTCAGGTGTTATATATAGGTTATTCAGTTTCTTCCTTTGCAATCTATCGAGTTCATCCAAGTCCAATTCATATATAATTCAATTCATCGAAGTCATGCCATCTTTTTACTATCTTACCAGCTCCTCATCAGGGTTGGCATCTAATTTTTAGAGCTATGTAACTAAGGATATATTCTTGTGCTTTTTTGGAGCTATGTAACTCAGGATATAAAAAAACATTTTTTATCAAGCTATACTTAATAAAAATACAAGTACATAGCCTGATAAAATAAATTAGGGGTAGATTGTAGTCAAAATAAACCTTACCAAATTTTGACAATTTGACAATATTGTCAAGTTTTGGCAGAATTTCTTATGTATTTACTAAAGTTCGATTAAAAAAACTAAATAAATGCACATGTTTAACAACTTTAGCAATAATAGTATTTGAAATAGCATCAATCTGAACAGCTTGTAGATGTCACCATTTCCGATCTTCGTAGCCTGGAACATTTTTAGATAGAGGCCATTGCAGCCTGTAACTGAAGTTCTCATCTGTATGCTGAGAAGATGTGCCACCTTGCTATCCAACAGCGTCTAGCAAACACAACTATAAACAAGCGCTGAAAAGAAGTAAAAAATGGAAGTGGTTGATAACTTGGTAGGAGCTATATTTTGATGGATTATTCAACTACTGTTAATAGTTGAACAAGATGATGGAATAGCAGCAACGTACGCACCTCAATCAGGTACTAGCAGTCAGCAGAAGGGGAGGAACCTCTTGCGATAGTACCTTTCTGAAAATATTATTGATTTATCTGGAATGGAGGAGAGCAAGTCAAAATACTCACCACCTTCTTTGCAACGTCTTACAAGCTGATCATTGCTGACACTGCAGGAATATAAATGTAGGTATTCGAGGGTCGGGAGCCGCTGGAGGAGACCCTCCGGAAATTTCTCTATCCCCGACAACCATCAAGATGTAATTTCCTCAGGGAAGTGAGGCCATCCATTCCATCGGGCAGCAATTTCAGGGACTCACACTTTATTACGATGAAATTCCTTAGACTTGCCAAATTTCCAAGGTTTGGAGGCAGTGGTACGACCAAATTCTGGCAACTTTGAATAAACAATTCCTCGAGCGATGCAGGCAACTTCGGGATCTCCACTATTCCGGAACAACTAGTTATATTTAATTCCTCTAGACAGGATAAATAAAGGATTTCCTCGGACAAAGAAAAATTTATTCCCAGGCTGGTAAACTTAAAAATATGAAGGGAGCGGAGGCGAATCAAGCACCTGAGCTCCTCCGTTGGCCAGCGGACAATATCATGGCAATCTCCAATCACCAAATGCTCCACAAAGGCAAAGTGTACCCATATCCCATGGTGCAATTCAGAGAAACCGGATACCGTCGTGAAGCATTTGGGGCCATGTAGATTCAAACGCCGAAGATTTACGAGATTACTTTCTCCTTGGTTTTGTTGGTCCTCCAGAGAAATCACCATGTTTGCGAGAGACCTTACTTTTAATCTCATGAGTGATGACCATGAGCCCAGCGGCATGGTCATAGAATCAAAGCCTTCTGCGTCGTAACTGAGATAGGACAAACTTGTTACGTGTGCGAGCGAGCTGACAGCAATATTTGAACATCTATCTATATTCAGGTCTCTTAGAACCGGGCAATCTGGAATGCCTGCAAGTTTAGGGCAGTCACTGATTCTTAGTATCTCGAGCTGGGGAAGCGTGATGAAGCTACTAGGATCTCCTGAAATATTGACTGCCCATCTCTCCAAGTTTGGTAGATTTCTTAAGAACATCTTCTTAAGCTTGGGGAAAATTTGCAGAGAGGTACCACATCCCTCAGCTTCTACATCATCATTCGTACATAATGTGGTTAGGTTATCCATGCAAGACAAGGACAACTCCTCAAGAGAGACCAAGAGCCATACTGGTGGTAGATCCTTGCATCTTGGACAGTTTGAAATGTTGAGTTTTGATATACGCTGGAACGTGTGTGGGTCTCTCATCCATTCAGGGATTTCAACACCACCATATCCATGTAACTCCAAAACTTTGAGGTTACTACAATAAGGTGCAAGTGACTCCAACACACGCTCCTCGTTATAGGCATTGTCATTAGGCATGCAACGTTTTTGTCGGCCCCAGAAAAACAATACTTCACTTAGATTTTTCTTCTGGTACATATTGGCTTGTTTTGCCTTCTCTTCGCTTTTTACTTTGTGCAAATTGTACAGTTCCAACCTGTTGGTAAGGTGTTGCAAGTCTTTGAGCTCCTCAATTCCACAGCCTGCTTCAGTGTCCACAACATATGTTGTCAGAGTACGAAGATTATTCAGCAGACCGATATTTGGGGGCATCCGTCGCAAACTGTCACACCAATATAGATAAATATGGATAAGCTTCCTCATTGTTCTCATACCTTTTGGCAAATATTCTAGCTCATCGCAACTATTGAGCCTCAGTGATTGTAAGTTATATAACATGCATATTGAATCTGGCAATCTAACGATACTAGTCTCGGAAAGGTCGAGAAACCGTATATGCTTTGCATTTGTGATAGCACTATTGATAACAGAACAACGCAATGCTCTCACTGATGCCAAATTGAATTCCACACTAACATTCCATAATGTTGATCGCCATGATCGGTCTATCAGAGTATGCAGAGATGATGTGCCTTTGAATAACTCGGTCATCGTTTCTTCCATTTCTTCAGGAATTCGCAAGTGACGGACATCTTTTATCGAGCCTTTCAGCTGATCCAACTCTTTTGTTGTACTAGCACATTCATCAGTAACATCTTTTGCTAGGTCATGCATTAAATCATGCATTTTACAAACAATTGAATCACAGTGATAACCGATTATGAACTCCTCTTTCACGTCTTGGAGGAACGATCTCCATACCAAATCATGGAAGATCATTTCTCCTTTATGTGTCAAATCCATGTTCTCCTCTTCTTGAATAAAACCATTTGCCATCCATAGTTGGATTAGTTCGTCTTTAACCATCTCGTAATCTTGGGGGAAAATTGCACAGAACGCAAAGCATTGCTTCATTTCAGGTGATAGGTGTCTATAGCTCAATTTCAATATGTCCATGACATCATTTTTACCTTGGACCCTAGCCCCAATATTACTTTCTGCAATGACCTCCCATTCTGAGACTGATTGCTTTGAACTCATAAGGCCACCCATCGTCTTGAGAGCAAGAGGCACCCCCCTGCATTTCTTGACAATACGTGTGCCGATGGAAACCAACTTTGCTTGCTCCTGTACTTGTTTACCAAACGCTCTCTTGGAGAACACCTCCCACGAATCATCTTCATTCAGACACCGTAGCTCATAAGGTTCAAGTGTGCCCATTATAGATGCCACTCGTTGGCTCCGAGTTGTGACGACAATGACACTTCCTGCACCGCCAACAGAGTTCAGTAGTGGCTTTAGGTCATCAGCCCACTTGTTTTCCTCGTCGTTCCATACATCGTCAAGAACAAGTAGAAACCTTCTTCGGCCAAAGGCTTCCTCAAGTTGCCGTCGCAACAGCTCGATGGTGTTGATTAGTTGGCATCTTCTATTTGTAGCCAATTCAACGATGGATTTCAGAAGGGAACCAACTTCAAAGTTCTCTGAGACACAGTGCCACATCTTCAGTTGGAAATGTTCCTGGACACTGGGGTCATTGTATATCAGCTTGGCAAGCGTCGTCTTGCCCAAACCTCCCATCCCCACGATGGGGAGAACCTGCAAATTCTGCTGATCATGCTGATCCAGCGTCAGTTTCACCAACACCTCTTTGTCATGCTCTCGCCCAAATATGTCTGCTGACTCGTCCAGCCCCGAGTGTGTTAGCCGATAAGGAAGCTGTGGCACCTCTACGTGTTCCATCAGGCCAAACTTGTTCATCTCTTCGACCAGCTCGTTGATCTTCTTGAGGACATCACCCAGCTTCCTACTCATGGTAACACGGAACAGGAGTGGGCTATGCGGCGTGAAGAAGCCGAGTACCTTGCGGGTGGTGGAGTCGCCGATCTTGACCTCGCGGCGCAGCGCCTCGTACTCGAAGTCGTCGAGGACGTCGTCGGCCTCGTAGGCGACGGCCTTGAGGTCCTTCATCCAGCGCTTGACGGCGGGGTTGGTCTCGCTCTTCGCCTCGGCATCGGCCAGCTTGCACTGGACGGCCAGAAGCTGGCGCTCCAGCTTGCGGCGGTCGCCGTCGATGCCGCACATGCGAGTGACGCTCTGGACGAGCGCGTCGGCCGCCTTGCCGGCCACCCCACGCACCACCGGGAGAAGTAGCGATTCCGCCATGTTGCGTTGCACAGCATTACAGTCACAGCATGAGGCGTTCTCAGCTGCAAAGCACGGTGGAATTAATGAAGATGAAAGGCAAAGCATGAAGCGCTCTGGGCCTCTGGTGCGTAATTCAAGCGGACATGTTTGGTCCGTATGAGTATAATATGACAACTTGACTATAACTTTTGCGATGTAAAACTGAAAGCTCGACTATCTTTTGCCTAGTGCATTCGTGTCGTGGAATCCACCAGTTTGGTTGCAGTTTCGTTGAAAGCTCCTCGGCCCTCGCCGTCTTATTCTTATCAGCAAAAACACACTTTTGCTGAAACAAACTGGCACGGTAGTCGGCAATGCCTTCGGGCTTCGAATATGAATGATCCTGTTGAGACGAATGCATCAGAATTCAGAATGCATCAGACCCCGCGCACCACTAGGAGAAGCAGTTAAATGAGACAATTTTAAATGAAACATAATTAAAGTTTGACACGAAAACTTATAGCTACGCTTAAAATAAGACAGAGGGAGACCCTGACTGATTTTTCCTCCGATGCAACCCATGTAAGACAATTGTTACTATAAAACGCTGTACACCCCATGTAAGACAATTGTTACTAAAAAACGCTGGTACTGTATAGATGCTGGCTAAAATTCAACAGTTTAAAATGTGGCGTAACACCATGGAAGGGCACAGATGCTATCATTCGGGTGCCCCACGCCACGGCACGCAGGCATAGACAAGTTACAATGGTTGCAAAACTTCCTCAGTATTTTCTGATCGGGAACTAGTTTCAGTACAACTTGCCAAAACATGGCCCAATACAGGCGCTGCGAAAAGCAATTGGTGCGGAATTAAATTCACAACAATTCATTCTGGTCATCTTCGACTTCAACCCTTTTAAACCTTAAACCAAAACATAGCTTCACATGATTTGCTCACTGCCCTTCAAACCAACTGGACCTGCAATGAGAGAAAAAAAATTGAAGCATGTGATGCTGAGTTCCATATACAAACAACGTGTGTCAGATAATACTCTACATATAGCCTGATAAAAGAAACTAGACGCCGATGTAAAATGTATATGGTACTGTAGTTTGCTAATTACTCTCATTCAACACTATGGTACTATACTTGTCTAATTCTAAACCTTCTACTCCCTCCATTTCAAATTGCTTGTCATTCTAGATTTGTCCTAAGTCAAACATATACTTTGACAATTAATTTTTGGAAATCCATGTAGTTTAATAACATGTCAATTACTTATTATGAAAGTATTTCTCATGGTGAATTTAAAAATATAAATCTCATGATGTTAAACTATATGAGTATATTGAAATTGGCGGTCAAAGATTAAAATGATTACTTAGGACAAACGTAAAACGACAAGTAATTTGAAATAGAGGGTGTATGAGCTAACATCACCTATATCCAATTGCCTCTAGAAACAGAATAACAGTAGTAAATAAATCTACAAAAGCATAGTAACTTGACTAACTTCTAAACAAAAAATAACTACTCCGTAATTACCAAAATAGCAATAGCAGCTCCTACTTTTTACACCAGAGTATGAAATCGTACCGAACGACAAGCCACTTGCTCATCTTCTGGAAATGTATGCAGGCCCCGTAGACCTGGTACATACAAGGAATTTACAGTAAATCAGCACTAAGAAACAAGAAAGACTGTCTAACTACAATAACACATAAAAATGGTTCATACCTTCCCTGTTGCTTCCCACCATAACCATGCCTGGTATTACCTGCAGGAAGGCCAGATCGTTCCTGTCTGACTCCATTTGCAGAAACAGCATGCATGGATGACTGCCCAGGTCGAACTTCATCTGAAAAGCCATTCTCCTGGATGTCTTTTACTTTACTTGCAATTGTTACATCACCAATCCCCTGAACAATGTTATAACCAACACTATCGTTGGGTTTTGGGATATGTCCACCCTTGTCAAACTGATCTCCAAAGCTAGCAGTGGTAGACCCATTTCTAGATGGCATTACATTTGAAGATCTGGAATCAACAACAGGTCCTCTCTTTTGCCTAGTGCTTTGTGCCACGGGAGTGACAGCAACTGAAGGTAACAATGAGTAAGGAGCCGAAGATGCAACAGCGGCAATTTTGGCGGCAGCTGTAGTAGCTGAAATGATCTGCTGTGCTCCTTCCCGAAGGTGAATGAAGTCTCCTTCAATCACAAAGAGCTGCAGAACAAACACAACAATCAATAACAAGAATTACCCACGGTTATTTTACTTAATGATTGTGAAAATAGACCTCTGGATGGCTAGCCACAAAATCATCTAGCTTCCCATAGTGCTTCTTATAGTCATGCCAATGAAGAGGAGCCAACATTTTGCCAAGCCTATTTGGTAGCTGAAAAAAAAATTTGCACATGAGTCAGTAAATGTTCCATTAGACAACAATATATACAGTTCCCACTAGTCAGGAACTCAATCATAAGCATGCATGTATAACTCACAGTTGTGCTAATCTTGATTCGGCCATCAGGTCCAGCAGGAACTGCACGTACAATGCAAGCCAGAAGGGATCTCTCATCTAGAAGGGAAGGCTCCTTTGGTATGCGAGGTAAGAGTGAACCCAAACCACCACCAGCAGAAGTATGCGTGTCAGTCTGATTCCCAACGTTAGCAGTGAACTCTGCTGCACCACCTTTCAAGTGGATTTGAGTAGTTGATGCATCAAAATCTGAAGCTTTATGCTGATGCCTAGCTACCTGCTCCTCCGACTGGTTGCCCGATGCAACTTTTTCATCCTGGTGTACATAGAGCTTTGATATAAGATGCTTACACATCAAATAGAAATTTACAAAAGAAACAATGGTAAATATTTTAACCTTGAATTCATTTGTTTGCTCTTGATGTTCAAATTTTCGAATAGGGCTGACAATTGAAGATGAATCCTGGGCCTTTTGTTGCTCATTGTAAACTAAATGTTCAGTTACATTGGATTCCACAACCTGTAACTGTTCTAGAAAGAATTAGATTTTAAACAGTGTTAAATTGTATGAGTACACAAAACGAACAACAAGAAAACAGACTAGTAACCTTTTGTTCATGAGTGGATTCAGAAACCACACTTGGGAAACGTTGTTGTTGCTGTTGTTTCCCATGGGCTGTAGCTGTAAGATGTTCTGCACGGGTTGCCTGATTCTGCTTCAAAGAAAGCTCATCATTATTACCAGCAGCTTGTTGCAATGCCTTCTGATCTGGTGGGGATGTGTGATAGTTTGTTTCATCTGGTGTCTGAGAGGCATTCTGAGCTTCCTAATTGACAAAAAAATTGTTTCCGCGTTAGAAATTATAGGTGGTCAAAATGTCAACAGAAACAGGATACAATAATAAAATGCTACACAGTATTGTGTACCTGTTGATTGGGCCACTGCATGTTTGGTTGAATTGTCGACTGTGACTGGAAACTACCAAACTGAGGAACAGCGGAGTTAGGCGATGCTAAAGATGGAGGAACACCTTGAGGATGCATCATATAAGAATGCATCCCGGCAATCTGCGCAGAAGGAACAAAACCACCTATACCCAACAGTGATGAAGGAACAACAGGTACAGGAGAGGCATTACTGTTTCCCTGAAAGCAACAAATATTGCAGTTCCATTGAGAATATTCTTCTTGAGTGAAATAGAAGTGTCCACATAAACCAATATGATACAGTTTAACTGAATAGAAGTAAGACCAACACAAATCATGGATACTGACCACATACTAAGGAAGTCGACTGACCAATATCAAACTATATTTTGCACCTTCCATGATAAGCACTGAAAAATGTTTCAGGAAGCTACAATAAAAAACAACCATACGTCCATACCTTTGTGGAACAATCTGGAACTCCATTACTTTTCACTGACTGACTACTATCTGTTGTTCCACTACCATTTGCAGCCATGTTGTTCCCTTTGTTCTGACCAAGTGTTGACTCGGCCGAACTCTCCTGTGCAGTTTGTGAACCATCTTTTGGTGCTCCAGTTCGGTCTCTTAATTCATTTAGTTCTAGCTGAAGTTGTTGTATGGTATGCAGAAAACCCCTTTGCATCTCAACATACTGGGGAAAAGCAAGAGGACAGGGTGAAGAGAATGTTAATATAACGCAGTCAAGACATACGCAAACAGTAGAATGAAGGCATCTAATGAACCACACATCGTACCTGTTGTTGGAAACTAATCCAATATTGATTGAATTGCTCAGTACGATCACGTAACTCAGCTTGCATTGTCTGAGACTGTAAAGTATCCATTTCTTGAACTCGTGCCATCCAAGCATGAGCTTCCCTCAATTGTTCATCTTTGTAAATAATGTTATCTTGAGCAGCCCTATGCTGTAAATAAAATGCTCGTCAGGGAGTGGCTGGATGCTAATTTGAGGAAGGCAATCATGCAACAAAATTATTGACCATTGATTTAGAAATTCTCACAAAGAAATAAATGTTAGATTGTTCATGCATGGATACAAAGCACTAGCTCAATGCCTCAATGTTGATAATGCTTTAATATTCTCCCTGAAGGTAAGACTATATTTGCAGCAACAGAAAAACAAGGAGAAGCCATGTCATTGGAAAGGAATTAAAACTATCATAAAGTGTTTAAAACCCTAGTTCAACAATATACATTGCATAACATTAGAAATGAACTGCAGTAAACTCATCCTATGATACTAAGTTACACTTTCTGTAAGAGTCTATCATGTTAATCATTCAAAAGTGAATAACTAGGATACTGTTATAAGCACATTGTCAGTAAAGATGTTTATGTATCTTTTGTAGTATGACTATGCGCATAGAGACATACAGTCATACACAATCTAAAATAGAATGGAAACAAGAGGGTTGAAAAAAGAATACCTGTTCCTCTAATGCAAGCATTTGGCTTTCCTTTTCTCGCAGATGTTCTTGGAGATCATGGATTTGTTTAAGATGCTGTGCCCTTTCAGCTTCAGAATTGTCACGTTCCCTTCTGCAGAAGATAAGAAAATACCAAACACATTTTATTTTCTACAACAAAGATTTTGCTCAAACCAAAAAAAAAATGTCCTGGTCAGGGATTGCAAATGACTACATGATTTTTTTTATTTGTTATGTTCTTTTGCACAATAAAACTATTTTATCATGCATAAATGGGCATCACATGATTCACAAAAAAGAAAAGAAAAGAAAAGAAAAGAAAAGGGAATCAACATCACATGCGGGTTTTTCATTGAGTAAGAAAACAAGCAATTCAGCAAGTCCATAAACAACTCTAATACTTTGATGAGGTGCAACTCAGCTGCTTTGTTGCTCTAACTAGTAATAAATACGGTCATCCCACATGATACTGAAATGAATCAGTAGTACCTAAAAGTTGCAAGCTCTTTTGTCTGTTCTCTAAGAAGATCTTGATTTGCCCACACCTGCCAAAAGGAAACAAAGATGGTGAGAGATCACAACCTCTAAATCTCACTGGTGCAACACAGAGCACTAACCGTTTGATGGTCAATCTTCAAAGCATCCAGTTCCCTGTCCTTGTCATCCAATTTCATTTCGAGCTCAAGGATGTACTTTTCCCGTTCATGCAGTTGTTCCTGTACAATTCGAAATCAGTATTTTTTTTCCCACTAAAAAGGACAAGGCAATCTGCAGTATGTACATCAATCATGTAATGTACCCCCTCCATCCCAGATTATAAGGGATTTAGGATGGATGGGATAGGGGCACATCCTAGTACTGCGAATCTGGACAGACTACTAGGATGTGTACCATCTATCCTAAATCCCTTTATATTTTGGGACAGAGGGAGTATAGATCATGACTTGTGTGTGAACCGTAAACTAACATTACTTGAGCTAACAAGCAAGGCACTGCACGCATCAAATCAAACACAATAACAGATATACTCAGTCAACAACAGAACACCACATAACCATCATTAAGGTATTAGCCAAAATTTGGTAAAAAAGAATAAATGCATAAATTTATCACAGCATAAAGAAATATTTGATACTACGTACTTCATTCTGTAAGAAGCAGCAAAGAAGCTACCGAGGTCACCCACTAAGCAACATCCTAGACATCAAAATAAAAAGGAACAATTCCCACTTCACGACAGTGTAACCATCTGTAGCAATACTGATCATCATGCCAACAGAAATAATGAATGAGTGAGTAGCACTCATAAGCAGCCAATAACCGCAGTACAGGCCAAATCATGTGCAATTAGTAAGTTACATGTACTCAGTTCCCACCTAATGCATGATACGACTGGCAACACGAAGTGCGTGTAAGTGGAAAGCAAAATCAGAACCTTCAGCTTTGCCGCGGCCGTTACATGCTCCTTGGCAGCAGCCTCGAAGCTGCGCTGCGCCTCGATGATCTGCGGGTGGGCGATGACCTGAGCTCGCAGCTCCATCTCAAGCCGCTGAAGCTCCTCCCGCTGATGCACGACGCTCTGCAGGCGCTGCTGGATGATGTCCTCGCTGAGGCCCCCGCTTCCGTCGATGGTGATCGAGCAGTAATCATCCAGTCTTCCACCCCCGTCCTGCAGCAAAACAAAAAGAAAAAAACAATCCATCGATCGTCTCAAACCGCTCCACAGCTCAATCCACAAACCAAAAACAACACGGGTGGCGATGACGAAGGGAGAAGTGTGGCGCGCACGCACCTCGTACATGGCTCTGTCCTCGGATTGCCCCATCTTGCCATGCTCCCCGGGATCCTGCGCACCAAGCAACAACAACAACAGCACAGCACAGATGAGTACACTCACCAGCAGCAGCAGCAACCAAGGGATGGGAGGGGAGGGGAGGGGAACCGACGTCGGCGCCATTGGAGCGGAGCGGGGCGTCGGGGACGGCGCGCCACTCCTTGCGCGCCGCCGCGGCGTCCATCCCTGCGCGCGGGGCCCCTTCCCCCCACAAGCGGGATCGGGATCTGGGCGACGGGGGGTGCTAGGGTTTTGGGGGTCCCTATCTCTCCCCCGCACGCGCGGGGTCGGGGTCGAGGCGGGGAGCGACGTCGCCCTCACCGCGGTCAAGCTGGAGCGCGAGCGTGGCGGTGGCGGTGGCGGTGGTGGTGGCGATGGCTAGGGTTTACGGCGGCCGCGGCGGATGGAGGAGGAAGAGGAGGCGATCGGACAGAGAGGAGAAAAGCGGGGGATTTGGGTCGGGGCCGAGGCGTGTGATTTTGGGGAGGGATTGGATTGGAGTATTGGAGTGTAGGTGCAGGGATGAGGAGAGGAGGCAGCCCGGTCTGGTCAGGTCAGGTCTGGTCAGGTCCTGATGAGTTGCAACTGCGACTTTGCAGTCGATGGGATGGAACATGTCTTTTGTGTTCGAATCTCAATTTTATTTTTTTAAAATGCTTGTTTTCTGAATAATAATTTATATAAGGGCACAGTGCTTGTTTAAAAAAACAAAATTGCTTTTTAAAAACATATTAATCTGTTTTTCAAGTTTTAATAGTAATAAATATTTAATTAATAATGCGCTTTCGAGTAAGCGTTTTTACGTGCACGGAAGAGAAGTTTCCAACCGAATCTCCGGAACACGGCCTAATATTGTATCTAAAAGGAAGGGGAAAGAAGAGTATTGAGGAGATCCGTAAAATGAGATGAACCGTTAGCATATGATTACAAACTTGAAATATGGATTAATATGATTTTTAAAGCAACTTTTTTATAGATCTTTTTTTAAAAAAAATGTATCATTTAACAGTTTGGGAATCACCAGCACAAAAGAACGAGGACAATTTCTTCCTCTACGTGCTTCTCTCGAACACTTCCTAATAGTTCGTTCTTCCTCCCTTTAAGAATACAAGTAAATTTATTCACGAGACTAATAAGAGGTTAAATTAAATAAATATTGGTTGTGATTGACTAAGATAAAAAAGCATGTGGAAAAATTAAAGCAAATTATTATTACAATGCGCTGAGATAGTAAATAGGAATAGAAACTAAGGCATTTTTTTACCGTTTGGTTGTCTTTAGCTCTAAGAGAGGCAGAGGTAGCCAACCAAACGGTTTTAGTTTCACCCAGAAAAAGAGCGAAGCATGCAAATGTAATCTAATCTAGAGTGTAGTTCAGGCTACTACATAACTCCACTCTAGACTATGCTCCTTGAGTTATAAGGAGTTGAGCCCTGCCAAATATGCCCTAAATACTATGTAGAGAAGTAGTTGCTCCCTCCGCTCCAATGTATAAGCATTTATAAGAACAAAATTAAGGTAAAGATTAGAAGTGGTTGCTACTTTCAATTTTATTCCCATTATCTAATCATCAACAGAAAGTTACCATACACGATACACTATTTTCTAACAGCAACTACCCTATGTTTTCCCTTCTTGTAGTTTGCGTTGAGTTTGCTTTTTGCATGCAAGACAACTCCACTCATTCTCTGTCCTTTTTCTTACTTCACCTCACCATCCAATCATATGATCTTTGAGGTTGTATTATAGGTTTGTTATGTTTCCTCTAAATTGTTTAGATCAGGTTAAGATCGAGCATAAGAGATTTTGATGACCTCATTAAATTAGGTATGTTTGGGTTTAATATGGGAATAAATTAGAATTGGAGATAACTGATGGAATAAGTAGTATCAAAACAGTGTTGGAAGTGCTTACATTTAGTGTAAAATTTAAATGCTATAAGTGCTTATATTTCGGAATGGATGGAGTTTTTTTTTTTTTGCATCTGTGTGACTATTTTTCTTCCATTTCCTTTGACCCTCTTATTTTCTCTTATTTTCTCTAGTGAAGATTACAGTAGCTGTACAGTTAGTAGTACTAGTAATCATAGGTTTTGGTTGGAGCTAGCTTGTGTTTTGTTTCATGCAGATGTAGAAGTAGGAGTACGTGCATAAGACAGGCATATGTGAGGAAAAAAGATTGGTGATAATAACTGAGTTGGTGCATTAACCAAGTGGTGTTTGGTTCTTTGTCTCCTTTTTCTTGAGAAGCATTGCAGCAATGTATAGGTGCTGTTTGGGAAGGAGAGACTAAACTTTAGTCTCTCTCATAAAAGCATAAGTCCCTATGAGAGAGACTAAAATTTTTATGAGAAGACTAAGCTTTAATCCCTCCTACTGAAACACCACCATAGTACGAAGGTCCCGGGCAAGTGGACGTGCGCAGAGAGAAGGAAACGATCCAGATGTGATGTGTTGTTTCGCATGCCATTTCACCACCCCAAACAAACCCAAATCAATCACACCTTCGGTTCATCTTAATTGGGCTTAATGTCCAGAGAGCCCATTATAGATTTAGAGCCCACTAACGAATCAATTTGGTGTGAAAAGGAGTCTAATTTTAATCTCTCAACCGCAAAACTGGGTATAACGCACGATTCCTCTGGCTGTTAAAACCGATATAAAATAACTACTCCCAGACAATATTGAAGGTGATATTTATTGACTGTGTAGTCCACTCATCACATGTTTTTTTAGAGGTGGGCCCACATGCCATCCCCTATCGCCCTTCGTTCTCTCGTCTCCTCTCTCCCTCCCCCTTTATGTCCACGATCCACATCAAGGAAACCACCTTCACACCAATCTTAACAATTTGGGGTTCGAAATATATTTTATTGTGATCAAAGGATATGAATCGGATTAGACCAATAATTGAGGGTGCGTTCCCAACTTAGGTTGCGTTCGTTAGCTCTAGTGCCCAACTTCCCTCCCTTGTTTTCCACGTGCACGCTTTTTAAACTGCTAAACGGTGCGTTTTTTAAAATATATATATATACAAAAGTTGTTTAAAAAATCATATTAATCTATTTTTGAAAAAAATAGTAAATACTTAATTAGCAAATACTTAACTAATCGCTGCTCCGTTTTCCATGCCGGAGGGAAACAGAGCCTAACCATGTGGTGTCTTAGTATCTTATAGCACACTAACTATATACAGCCCATATAAGCCATAGCTATATCTGGGCTCGTGATCGGCAGTTAGTTGGGCCTGTGCCTCCTCAACGACCATTTCGATGGAGACCGTACGGACATGGGGCACATGCATAAATGCATTGCAAAAGCTTCAAGTTGGCAGAAGTAGGAGAATCCTGTACACTGTACTATAAACCAATCGATCTGCATTGTTGACATTTGTTGAGGCTTTGAACGGGACACGGCCGGGAGCACATAAACAAAGCAATATTTCGGCAATCATTAGTTACTCCCTCCGTTTTCTATTATATGCGCCGTTGATTATTTTAGATATATTTAACATTCATCTTATTAAAAAATATATAATTATTATTTATTTTATTGTGACTTATTTATTATCAAATGCTTTTTAAACATAATATTATATTTTTATATTTGCACGAAAATTTTAAATAAGACGAATAATGAAAAGTTTGTTAAAAAATCAGCGGTGTCATATATTAAAAACGGAGGGAGTATAATACTTGTAGAAAAACATCTTACTATAGATTTTATATATGTGTTGTCCCTATAAGTAAATCAAAGAAGCAAAATTCTCCTTTTGGAATATGACGTGCTATCTCTGTGTGACACATGTGCGAATTTGAGCCGTCAACACATCTCCATCGCCAGGCACCGAAAAGGGCCAATTTAATTTTAATGTTCTATTACACCATATATATGCTTCTATCAACGGTCTTTATTGAGTTTTTCCTCTGTCGGAACAAAATTATACAGGACCTCGGTCCTTTGCATATTTGGAAAGAATTTGCTTCTCCACTGCCACGTGTCCGCACCAATCTTAGACCACCTATCTTTTACCTCTAGCTCAAGTGCTTTTTTCTCATTCTCTCCTCTTCTCTGCTTATCATCAACCGAAGCAATGGAGCCCCATCTTCGCACGTGGAATACGTTCCCCGGGCATGGATGGAGAGCTCACCCAACTATTCCCCATGTCTCCTCTCCACTCTCACTACCTCTCTTCCACTTTTTCTTCCCCGTAGAAGACCCAAAGTTTAGCTAGGGTCCGATGCGTAGCTACGGCGGCGGCGACGCCCTCATCCAACCGCAGGGGCATGGGATGGCCGACTTAGCACGCTCCCTTGCCGGGAACATACTCAGTCTCAACTAGACATAGTACTCATGTACCACATTGCATTTTGCGTCGTAACAGTGAGGAGGAGGAGGCGAGGGAGCGTGTTTTCACGCTAGATATGAGGCTCCAGCCGAGAAGCAAAAGAAGATGCAGCGTGGAGCGTGTTTTTGCGCTGGAGATGGAGGGCTCCAACCAAGAAGAACAGAGGAAGGGGATGTGGGGACTGGGGAGAGTGGCGAGGAGAGAGAATGGGAAATTTGGCATTTTGGCTAGAGGTAGAAGATATGTACTATAAGATCAGTACTTGAAAGGTTATATTTTTTTTTAACATAGGGAATACACATAAATTAAAGATGTTGTTGCCAGCCAAACCTACTACTTTCAGTAAAAAAAATTAACTTATGTTAGAATATGACTAACCCTAAAAAATCTTAGGATATGTCACATACTATATATACTAGTACTTTCTTGAACCGCACCGAGAAAATACACCAATCGACACACGATGGTCGGCCCTCATGGAACTCCTCATCACATGCAGTTGGGCATGAGATGAGGGGAAGGGAGGTGCTGATCCAACCCGCGTTGCCACCGCAATCACGGGAACAAACTAATTTTTTTAAAGGATTTTTTTTTGATTTTTGAAAGGAGGAAGAATCTAAATTTAATTTGCATCACTAGATAAACTCACCATGAGTGACAAATCGAAAACGACACTGGACACAGGACAGTACGTAGGATGTACACCTTTCAAATTAAAAACAAATTAAGGGACACTGTTGATTGAAAAGTTTTTGTTGCTTCTCCTAGCAAATGATCCACATATACTCCGTATTAATTTGCCAGATCTGGACCGAAGGCGAAATTGAAAAGGCAAATTGATGGGATTGATGGCTACGTTATTCCTAGAAATTAAGTGGTTAAAACCATTGATCCCGAAAAGGAATAGTGGTGTAGTATGAAAATGGGCTGTCACAGTCAGTGTAGTAAAAGTCGGCCGACTATATATATACGGCCGTATATACGTACGGTCGTACGGATACGTCGGCTAAACCGTTCCGTATAGTTGGAAAATGCTCAAATATGGCCATTTTGTTCGCTTAATCACCCAATTTTTCATAATCACCGGATTGGACTTACTGTATGTTATAATTAAGTTTCATTGGAACCTGTTTTAAATTGTTAGCAATCCACAAGACCTAGTACAACCCTTCTGCTGGTATATAAGCTAGTAAGAAAATTACTGTCTGTTTCAGTATAATCACATGGTGAGATACGAACACATTATCTCATTTTGACAATATAATATGTTAAGAATCTCTAGAACTACAAGAAATTATCTAATATATTGGTATTAGTGTGAACATGAGTAATTGCTTGACGGTACCCATTCCGTTCGAACACCGTATTCCGTTCTTTACAACACTGGTTACAGTGCATGAACACATCAATATATTATACTCTCTCCGTTCTATATTATACCTAATCTCACCAGTACTTGTGAAGAAAGAGCAAAATTAGATCGAACTAGACCCTAGCGAAGTTTAATATACAAGGGGCAAATATTCGTTTAACACCATATCAAATTACTTCGTGTACACATCTTGTGCCAAAAAAGACATATATAACCCTAGTTAGCTGCATTGCGTTTGTTTATGCAACATGCATATATAGTAAATTTGAATGGTTCAAAATGTAGTAACTAGTACTCCTACAATTAATCCAAATTAAACTACCACGTACGTACTATAGCTAAATGGCAGCGAACTGAATCAAAATTTGCAGGTCCTGAATCCTGATTAATATATATGCCAATATATAAAGCTTCAAACTATTTGATCGAATATATATATATATAGTTGGACAGTACAAGTGTACAACTTGGTTGACAATAATCTTCAAGAGGAAAAACAAAACAAGCAAAAAAAAAAAAAGCTAGCCAATTGAGTCGATGCATTGATCATCGATCCATGCATTGAGATTGAGAGTGAGAAATATACTAATATATCACAACTACTCTACTAACTTGCATGCATGCGTTGATCATATGCATCATCTTCCATTACAGACACGTACGTAGATCAATGTGTATATATACTCACTTCTTTTCAGGTAATCTATAATTAAATAAATTTTTATAATATATTTATCTTAAGTTAAGAATATTATTATTTTTTTATAAAATTAGTTAAACTTATAGTAGTTTAATTTTGACCAAAGTTAAAGCGTATTATAACCTAAAACAGAGGGACTAATAGATTAGCTAGCTAGTTCGATCTAGCCATGTATCACTGCCATTGATCAGCTCGAGCTAGCAAGAGCTAGGTCGTGTCGGCGAGCTGCAGCGTGTGCAGCAGCGCGGCGCGGAGGCGGGCTTCGTCCTGGAGCGCGGCGGGCACGTCGTCCACCATCACGTCCTGCACCGTCGCGCCGCCCACGCGCGCCACCGACGCGTGCTGCACCGCCAGGTTCAGCGCCCGCACCGCGCACATCATGCGCGCCGGGGCGTGCCGCGCCGCCGCCGCCGCCGTCGTCAGGCGCAGTATGGCGGCGTCACGCCCGATCATCCGCACCACGAGATCATCCCGGCCGATGGCGCCGGCGCCCAGCCCCGCGGCCCAGGCGGCGGCGGCGGCAGCGGAGGGAGCCAGCGGCGCCCTCCGCGCCTCGGCCTCGAGCCGCTCGACGCGGCGGCGCAGCTCGGCGATGTAGTCAACGGCGTCGGCGAGGAGGGACGCCTTGTCCATCCGTGACACGGTGGGCACGGCGGCGCGGAGTTCGCAGAACCGGCGGTTGAGCTTCTCCCTCCGCTGCCGCTCGGCCTCCACGTGGCCGATCGGGGGCGCGCCGCCGCCGCCGGAGCGTGGCCCTGGCTTCCGCCCCCGCCGCTTCGTCGTCGTCGTCGTGGCGGGCGGGTTCCTGGGCACGTCGTCGTTGCTCGCCGATTGCGAGGCCGCTGCCGCCGCCAAGGCGGAGGCGGCGGCATCCTTGTCGAGCTCGTCGTGTCCGAGTCCCAGCAGCCATTGGTCGGGGACCTCGCAGAACTCGAAGTCAAGCGTCGGGAAGCAGGCCGTGGCGGAGAAGGAGGAAGGGGAGAGTACAAGCTCGTCCATGGCCGGGGTGGCTAGCTCGTCGGTAGACGTGGCGCTATGCTCCACCACCACCACCACTAGGCCACGTCAACTGTTGTATAGTGCTAAAAGTGGAATACCTTTGCTGCAGCCAGGTAGCAGTATACGGAGTATATAGCAGCAGTGTGAGAGTGTGAGCCATGGAGGAATCAATAGCAGCAAAGCTAGGGACCTCACCTACATGTTTGGCTACAGTAAGCTTCGCGTGTAGTACTACATTTGGCTGTTAGAATTGACCCCTTGACAACAAATTATATTTTTTTTCTAAAAACGGAAAATAAACTGATTCATAGCCACAATTTACCACACCCATACTTTTTCAATAGTACTCTCTCCATCCAACAAAAAGGCAAACTCTAGGTTTCCGTGTCCAACTTTGACTGTCCGTCTTATATGAAATTTTTTTATAATTCGTATTTTCATTGTTGTTAGATGATAAAACATGATTAATATTTTATGCGTGACTTGTCTTTTTAATTTTTTTCATAATTTTTTCAAATAAGACGGACGGTCAAACGTTAGGCATGAAAATCAGGGTTTGTCTTTTTTTGACGGAGGGAGTATGTGCCACACATTATAGGCTTTTTTATTAACTTTGCAACACTTTATAACTAACAATTTGTCCACTACACCTTTATATCTGTCATAATTTGTCTAACTTTAATTGTGGTAAAGTGTAGCTAGCAACCAAACACACTATACATACACGCACAATCAGTACCAACCATATGAATAAAGAAGCACACTTTATCTATATAATCAAATTTGAAAAACCGAGCTGATATATTTTTATAGATTAATGAAACTATCAGAAGCATCACATTGTTAACCCCGTAAAAGCAACCTCGTTGTTCGTTTATCCATATGATTATTTGAATCGCTTATTAGCTAATAAAAAAATTATTTGTGAGTAAACCTTTTATATACGTGTTCTTAATGATTCAAAAGCAAATATTGTAAAATAAACTACGATAAAAAAAATCCAAAAATCATATTCAAAATTTAGTTTTAAAATTCTTATAAGCATAAGCATAAGCCAAACAATCAGGCTTCACTTGTGTAGACTTAGAACAGGGTGGTGGGGGAGGGGAGGGGGGCAAATTGTACCACAATTAATCTAATATTGTGGGCTACATTCAGTTCACCCTGATAACAAATTATATTACTACCTCAATTCTTTAATACGTGATGTAATTGAAATTCTAATTCGTTTGACTATTCATTATTTGTTCTAAAAATATTTGTGCAAATAGACAAATATACTAGGGACACAAGTTCTTTTGATGATAAGTCTAGTGGCACTCTTTTCATTGGTAAATGGTAATTGAACAAACATTATTGGTTAAATTTTGATAAAAAAATGTCAACTACTCCCTCCATCAAAAAATATGAGGCATAACCACCCATAACATAAAGACTAAGAAAACATTTAATCACTTTATTGGTTGGATCAGCTTGATGCATGCAAACAATGTGATTGGAGGTTTGATGATATAAGATTTAAAACAAATCAATTTTATAGGACCAAGAGATGCTGGTTAATGTATACATGCATGCACGCCTTATATCATGAGATATGATAGAAAAATGATTGTGCTTTATATTTTAGAATGGAGGGAGTATTACATCATATATTTAAAAGAAAAGATGTAGGATCCTCTTCTACGCTACCAAGGTGCTAGCGGCACTGTGATGGGTGGTCATCCAACGTGCAGTGCGAAGGGAGATCGGTGAAGTGGGGCATGCCGCAACCAGAGCTGAACATAAGCAACTATGAGAGTCTCCTCTATCACTATCACCTCCAAATTTATCTATTTTATTTATTCATGAATTAAGATGCAACCCATACAATGTATCGCCTCTAATACACAAATACCAATATATCTAATACTTTCACACCCATCTTGAAGTTTATGTGAAGGTTGCCTTTTGATTTAGAGGTAGCTCATCATTTCTCTTCTCACTTCTCTCCTCCACCTCATCACTCAATCCTATGTTGCACTCTTAGAGATAATATATAGAATATTATAGTACTTGCCCTCATAAATGTGAAGATGGAGACTCAGTGTCTGAGAGGCTGTCAAGTTTAATGGAGGAAATCACCAAGAACTAAGATTACATGGTGCTCGACACCCACCTACTGTTCTTAAAAAGTATCGTCACAATAATATAAGCTTGCTAAATTTATAAATCTATTTTTAATATAATTTAAATCGTACTTAAAGTTTTAAGTTTTTGTCAAAATCCTGCACTAAACGTAAAATATTTATGACCGGAAGTGACTATATAATACCCAGATGCTTGCAATACACACAAGATAATGTCGCACAATACATCACACATGAAAGTTATATCATTAAGGGACTCCTTCTCGGCCACAGGCACGCGCACACACTCTCAGTCTCTCGTTCGATCGCTCTCTTATACTCCATCCGTATTTTAATGTATGACACCGTTGACTTTTCAACAAACGTTTGACCATTCGTTTTATTCAAATTTTTTGTGCAAATATGAAAATATTTGTGTCATGCTTAAAGAACATTTGATGACGAATCAAGTCACAATAAAATAAATGATAATTACATAAATTTTTTAAATAAGACGAATGGTCAAACGTTAGACAAAAAGACAACAGCGTCATACATTAAAATATGATAAAATATGAAGGTAGTACTATTTCTAGTTCGATCTGAATCTCTCGACTATGGATCCCTTAAGCAGCGAGTTGCGATGTTGGTAAGAGTTTTTATCAGAGCGTTTTCTGAAAAGTCTACAAACGACTCAAAAGGTAAGTATAGCAAATGGGGAAAGGATAAGGGCCATAAGGCCCAACACTTGGGTGGCTGAAGTTAACACACGATTTGCCAAAATTGGTCCCAAATTAAGATGGTGACCAAGGGATCGTGACATGTATATGCCAAACAAGTTCCAAAGCTTTTAATTTGCAATCTTGTGGAGTTGATGCTGCCACACACTTCTTTTTTTCTTCATCACATTTGCATGCATTGCTGGATCGAATGCTGGGCCTCAATACAATGTGGCTATGATTTTTGTGACCCAAGTACTATGCCTTGATTATGTTCACTGACAATTAATACTACATTATTGGGTTGTCGTACTCCCAATGCCGTATATCAATAACCTATTCTCCTGTTGTTATACTATCTCTCTTCGTCCTAAAATATAAAAGCAATTCTAATTTTTTTTTATGATTATTGATGAAAGAAAAAAAAGTTATAATTCACCTTATTAATGAGAGATGGTTGAAAATGAGAAATCCGGTTGAGAGCAAGATTGGACGGAAATTAAATGAGGAGCGGTTCACGGGGAAAATAGTACTTTAGAAATATATAGCTATATATTTTAGGATAAAATTTAAATGCTACAAATAGCTAATAACAAATTGAACAAGTTTTTTAAATACAAATTGGGAAAATAATTAACACAACTGGAGAGAGTGTGTACCGTCGATTCTGTTCTGAAAACTCTAGTCCCTTCAATTAATATTTTGATTACCTTATGGATATGCCAACGGTGAGCTGATGCTGTGTATTGCACAAATTCTTGTTTTGTCCTCTAAGTATCCTTAATTGATGACAATAATGGTTACTGTTATACTACACTTTATAACAAATTAGCACATTAATTTGGTAGACAAACTTTTTTCAAGCACTTTCCACCCATGTGCTCGAATAGATGTGACATGTAGAGAGTATACAGGGAAAGAGCGATGTGACATATATAATGCCATATTAGGCTGAGTGCGTGTTTAGTTATTTGGGTGTAAAGTTTTTAAAGTATACGGACGCATATTTAAAGTATTAAACATAGACTAATAATAAAACAAATTACAGATTCCGCCTATAAACTGCGAGACGAATTTATTAAGTTTAATTAAGCCGTCATTAGCAAATGTTTGTTGTAGCATCACATTGTCAAATCATGGTGTAATTAGGCTCAGAAGATTCATCTCGTAATTTACATGCAAACTGTGTAATTGTTTTTTTTCCACAATTAATGCCCATGTATGTGTCCAAACATTTGATGTAACATTTTTTTGTCAAAATTTCTTGGATCTAAACAAGGCCTTATGTAGATAACAGAACAGGCATGTTTTGATAAGATCAATGGACAATGATGTTCATTTAGCTCTGAACGACTGAAGTATTCTCTTTAGGTTGATTTGCTGTAATAATCAAGATTTTAAGCACGGTTTCTAGGCTCTAGGTAGACAAAACTCCTACATATGTAATTAACTAACCATTGTACAATCATCGGCAGTGAGAGTATGTATATGCTGATCGATCAATGTATTCTTAACTAGTGCATCAGGGAATGAGAGTAATATATACATGTTGACTGATCAAAATATTATTGGATTTGCTAGTTTTTAGGTGAATTCTCAGCCACTGCCCCGTCTTCAAGCTCTAGCCGGTTGGGGATGGAGAAGTAGAGGAGGAAGATTAGAAGATTCACCGGTGGCGGCGACAACGGATTTCTGACGGTGAAGACAGTGGCGATGGCACGATGGTAGTGGCGAGGTTAGATTAAAGTTTTGGGATCAGAGAAGGGGCTAGGCAAGAGGAGAAGATCGGATTTTTCCCTTGCTTAGAGGATATCTTAGGTGGCGGCTAGAGGACGTCGGCAATGGACATGGGGGCGAGGGAGGCCACAGGGTTAGGCAGTGCGAGCCATTAGAGATGGAAAAGAGGGTGACTCAGGAAGTGGTGCCACCGCCGGCTTATACGAATAAAGAAAATGGGAGGGAGGCGGGGAATGGGAGGAGATCGGTCTGTCAGGCCTCACCAACGCTATTGATGCCTCTCTGCTAGTGAAGCTGGGCAGGGAGGAGACGTGAAAAGCTGGCCCATCTCTAACCGAGCGAATTCGTGCGCAAGGAAAATCGGGGACGGATGATTTTTTTGCGCGAGGACAATAGAAAATCGGAGACGAACAGGTTTTTTAATCTCGGACGGAAACTTTTGACGGACGAATTTTTTTTTACGGAAGCCTTACATATTTTTTAATTAGGTGTATATATATATATATATATATATATATATATATATATATATATATATATATATATATATATATATATATATATAGAGAGAGAGAGAGAGAGAGAGATAGATAGATAGATAGATAGATAGATAGATAGATAGAGAGAGAGATATGTATTTTTCATCTCCAGAAAAACATCAGCTGGTTCCTTCAAAAGTTTAAATCTGACTTACGCATGCCCACAAGGAATTCTTCATGACCTAGCTAGCTCACTTTGCCTTCCCAGAGGCACTCGCCCTGCACGGAGGTGCTACCGCCGCCGCCGCTGCTGCCGGTGAGAATCTTGGCCGGAGACGAAGAAGACGATGGCAGAGGATGAGGCGCCGGAGGTGGCAGGAGTAGGTCCCGGAGACGGGGCGGCGGTCGCAGGCCCATGGCGGCGGCGCGCTCCCACCGTCGGAGGCGCGTCATGCCGATGCACGGGCCGTACGTCATGTCCATGTCGAACTGCTGCAGCTGCTCCTCCACCTCGTCGCCAAGATCATGATCACCGCAATCTGAAACGAGTAGCATATTAAAATAAAATTATTGTTAATCAACTTTGAATCGCGTTGAGGGAAGATTAGAAAGAACAAGTTCATCAATTTACCTTGGGATTCGGAGCAGTTCTGTGGCGGTAATTTCTTTCTGGATATTGGTTTCTTGGCGACGCCGCCTTTCTTCTTCTGCCGGTAGAAGCCCTTCACGCCGCCGCCGGCCATCTAGTCCGATCAACTTGTACCACTCGACGATCTGTTCCGGCCGCCGTAGTTAGAGATTGATACGACGATTATATTGCTGCTTAATTTGGTTCAATTAAGAAGAAGTTGCAAGCTAGATTGAGCCGAGGAGGATTCGTATGCTATGTGGTTTCCTATGCAGAAATTAACAAGAGGAAGATATGACTGATGGGCCGTCAGGGCTAAAGGCTAAAGGCGTCCAGTACAATCCAAAAAATTAAGGCCCAGAGCGGCATCCGATTCCGTGACGTTTTTTCAACCTGGGCTTGAGGTGAACGGCCTCTTGTACGGCCCACTTAAGATCGCGAAGGGCCGAAGGCCCAGTGCACTAACCTAGCTTAGCATGTTCGTTTGCAACGCTTCCGCTTCACACAAGGCCTAGCGGGGTTTGCTTTCCATCTTCACCTTGCCACCTTGGTATTGCAGGAAGAATATTCCTTTATATTCTCTTATGGCAATATTCCAGATTTTTGGCGGTCGAGAAATACACAGAGAAATTGCTATATTTATATTACTTTCTCCCTCCAAAACTTTTTGAGTTTATGACCGTCGGATCGTGGTGATTCATGCTTGCTTACTAGTTTGCAAAGGGTTACTACTATCATTGGGGCTAGGCTCGCTTCGTCTTTAAGGCTCTAGCGAAAGGCAGGTGGGAAAAAAATTAAAAAGCTCTGACTCTTAGCCCCTTCTCTTCCTTCTCCCACGGCTTTCTGGTTGTCATTGTATGGAGGGAGGGGTCTGGCTCATTCCTCCAATAGTAGGGATTGTTTTGGGTCTAGTCGGGTCTCTCCCGTTCTCGCGTTCATCCTTTTTTCTTATGTAGCTCAAGAGGGTTGCTTACATTCAACTATTCTTGTCTTAGCTTGACGGACATGCGAACCTCATCAACGTCTTGCTAGCGTCGTCTTCCTGCCCGGTGAATGTTGGGTTCACCTCCAAAGCCTTCAGTTAGGAGTTTTGTTGTTTTGGTTAGGGTTGAGGGCTTGTCCTCTAGCCCGTCAAATAAAAGGTTGTGTCGGCTGTTTACCCCTTCTTAGGTGAGTCTCCCGCACATACGTTGGTCGTCTGTTATAGGTGACTGAAGATTTCTCCTATTGGCCAAGGTGGCTTCAAGCTCCGTCGAGAGGTCCCATTTGGGTACGCTCCTTAGCTTCGCCCATTGCAACTTACCGTGGTATTTTTGTATATCCTTCTTTGCATATGTTACGCTTGAAATGTAATTTGGTCATGACTCAGGAACTTTTATGCAAAACTAGGTGTTCTCTCAGCTTTACTGCACCAGAGAATGTAACACATGTACTTTGTACTTAATCTATACCTAATTAAAAAATACGCAAGGTTTCCGGTTTTATTTTTCGTCCGTCATCCCGTTAACGTTGCTAAAATCGATTTTAATCGGCTCAATAGTCGAGTCGGACCCTTTTCAATCTACTTCAGAACCGCGATTGATATAGAATATGTATTAATTGATGTAACCATCAAACACAACTAGCAGGCCAACTTGGTTAGTGGGGTTCGATTCCCACCACCCTCACCTTTTACCCATGTATTATTTGCATTGTCTATGGGCCGGCCTCTCCTATGCCAGATTGCACTACCGTATCTAAAAATTTAACACTAATTATTACTCAGAATAAGTCTACTTTGCCTCCCACATCTCAAATTCTATTTAATTGTAATTTTTTTCTCTCCGCCACTAGCACGGACCATGCACTGAACAATCAAAAGTTTTACACCACTTTCTTCAACAGATATTTTGTGATTCAAAAATCTTATTATAAACCAATTTTTAATTTGAAAATTAAACATTTTTTTCGTCATATGCAAAACACGACATATTAGAGTCTGCCCCGAGCCGTTAAATGACCCGTCTCCACGCGACTCGGTGTTCAATTTTAGAAATTAATATATCAGGCGCTTGCCATGCAATAGTTGAAAGAGCGTGTGTTATGACAATATGAGTATATCAATATGCAATGGTGTTTCTTATCAGTCCTGATTATCATTAACTGAATGAATAATTTATCTATCTTGGAACATCATTACATGTTAACTGTGTATTTATAGCATTTAACATTTTATTATACCCGTAGCGGAGCACGGGCATTTTGCTAGTAAATACTAAAACACATTAGTTTTTTTTTAAAAAAGATTCATTCTTGCTCTCCACCATGCCGTTTGTGCTTCTTGAGTTATTTTATACGAGTTACATATAAATTATACTTTTAGTATAGTTATAATGTAATGCTTCTTAAGTTATTTTATTTAAGTTACATATTGTGATTACATGTAACACAGTATGATTACAATGCAATTACACTGTAGCTGATTTTATTCTGTTAACAACCTGTTGAATGTTGTAATTAATTGTACCGCTATTCTCATCAATACACGGTACTATATATACATTTTTATTTTTGAATGAGAACTGAAGGGAAAAAAAACAAACACACACACACATAATCTGCTTCTGGACCTTGTGACATGCGCACCCGTAGAAATTTGGTGGATATATATAGGGTGACTGCAGAAACAAACAGAGAGACTAGACAGAGAAACAAACAAGACGATGAGCACGATCGATGCAGTAGTGGCGTTTGGGCGATAGGAAGGGATGCGCGGTGCGCGTGGCCAATTCATCTTCGCAAATCGCATATGCCATAGCCATAGTAGTCGGTCGCATGTGGACGGGGACAGCGACGTGGAAAGCGTGGTCTGTCGCGGTGCATCATGAGTATCATATAGTTAATATATATCGGTGGTCGCTTTCCAGCAGCGAGCACAACACGTTGCTGCTGCATGGGCGTGGAGCCTGATGACGCGCCGTGTATTGCATTTTGTACTCGTACGTCCCTAGCGCGCGACGACCAACGCTAAGCTACGGGGGCGCCACCACCGTGCGTGCGTGCGTCGTGCATCATATCGCTTCTACGTACGTACTTTGTCAGTTGTCACACGTACCGACCCAACCCAAAGAAAGAGAGAAACAGAGAGAGTCCCGTGCCGTGTGACGACCGCCGGCCGTGTTCTTCTTCCTTGGATACTCCACTCCTATGCCCACAGCCACATGCACTTTCAAAATAACTCAATCTCCACGAATCTGGATAAGTCACATCCAAATTTATTATCCATCCTATATATTGTAAATTAAGTTATTTTTTATTTTAAGACGAGGGAGTAATATGCTACTATGCTGATATGTTGAAAAGTCGCCATTGAATTAAGCACATGTTAAAAAGCTAGTTTTCTCGTTTCGCATCTTCATCTCCATCATATTCAAACAGAACAATCCCGTTTGAATATGATGGAGATAAAGATTAAGTGATGACACGTAAACGGGAAAGCTAGCTATTAATGCATGGTTAATTCAATTTTAGTTATTACAAACTTAAAAGTTGGATTTATATTATATTTTAAAACAATTCCTACATAAAAAGTTTTTTCACGAAATATATCATTTATTGAAAACGTGCTAACGAAAATCTATTATATATGATGCTAGAAGTATCACTCCCGCTAACAAAAAAAACTATACCTAGAATTGAATGCGACTAAACCTATTAGGATGAATCTGAATGAACTATTATTTATATGTCAATTCAATTATAGGCTTGTGTTTTTATGGAGGGAGTACTCCACTAGACAACATCGCAGATCACCGAGTCTGCTTCTAGGCAGCATTCAGGTACCTTCGTCGAGCTACCACTCCATGATTACTTGAGGTTGTTCTGGAATCATCCTAAACTAAGCTACTCTTTTGTCTCCTTGCGACACTTAGGCTGAGATTAAGGAGAAGAGGAAAGAGAAGTTTGGGAAGATATGCAAAAAGATGTGAGCTATTAGTGTATAATTAATTAAGTATTAATTATTTTAAAATTTAAAAATAGATTAATATGATTTTTAAAGCAACTTGGTAATATTATTAACTTGCTAAAATTTTAACAATACCAAATTTTAGAAAGGCTGAATTGGCTATAAAGTGAACAAGCCCGTAACTTCAAAAATTAACCCTTAATGATAAATCTATTACTACCTCCGTTTTAGGTTATATAAGACTTTCTAGCATTACCCATATTCATATATATGTTAATGAGTATATATATATATATATATATATATATATATAATTTGTTTGGTGCTCTATGGTGCCCGGGCACCATTGTTGAAATTGAGTATATACCCAATTCAAATGAGTATGAAACTTTTTCAATTACTTAGGTATTAACATTAACTACTTTACTAACTAGTTCAAAGCAAGTTTGAACTGAATTTGAACTTGTTTTTGTTAGATTTTGATTCTAGGTATATAGCATCCATACATATAATTAGTTAGGTATGTAATCATGGATTGTGAAATAAAGTTAAATTTGAGTTGTTTTTTTGATAGGTATAGGTATGAATCGAATTATTATAACTAGGTATATACTCACAATTTAAAAATTTTGAAAAGTTTGAGTGATTTTGTGCATTTGATACCATGGTGCCCCTTCTTATATTATTTATATTTATATAGATATTAATAAATTTACACACACACACATATATATATATATATATATATAGATTTTCTTATATTATTTATATTTATATAGATATTAATAAATTTACACACATATATATATGTACATATACATACATATGTATATATATGTATATACATATATATATGTATAGATGTATATGTATATGTATATGTATATGTATATGTATATATATATATATGTAAATTTATTAATATCTATATAAATATAAATAATATAAGAAAATCTTATAACCTGAAACCGATGAAATACTAGCGATGTTTATTTTTCCATTCTGGTGGACGAAAGATAAAGAGAGCTGGGAGGAGTGTTAAACACTGTGGCAGTGACTTTAATTACTCTGCTAGCTCCTTGAATTGCGTGCGTCCAGGCATCCAGTCAACGATCATTAATCATTACCAGTAGGACTGGAGTAGAGCAATGGAAGGGAATGCTTGCCTGCATTATTTGCCGTCACGAAGAATATATCTACGGGATGTATACGAATTCCTGTTTTCTAGGAGTAGTACTCACGACTCACAAGTCACACAAAGATGAGTCATGATCGAATCTAGACGGTTCGCACTGCACTATACAAACTTGAACAAAGACAGAATGTATTTCTCCCTTAAAAAAATAAAGAAAAACATATTCTAGGGTGAGATTGATTTTCTTTTATTATGGAAGAAGTACTCAACTAGTATTTTAACCGTATGTATTTTCGTTTTCTTTTGTTAGCGCAAATTATGTCGCAATCGCAGCCGGTGCATAGGCAACTCGCAATGACGGATCCAGAAATAATATGTTCAGCGGTGTTATAGTATGTTACTCCCTCCCTCCTTTCTAAATTGATATTCATATATATGTTTATGCACCAAGACTAATGATAATTTAAATCACATCGATCAAGATTTAAGACATCATGCACACATTCTCCCATAATATATACATCGATTAAAATATCATGTCAATTACCTTAGCATGTACACATTTTCTCTTGCTACATTAATTGTATTCTGATGAAATCCGTGTCCATGCGGTTATATGATGATTAATTTGAGAGAAATTTTAAATTCTATTATAGGATGATCAATTTGAGAATGAGAGAGTAATTTACTTAGACACTAATATTATAATATACGAATATAAGCAGTTTAAGTTTTTTTTTAAAGTCATCGGTGTTATATGACAACTCATATATGCATCATTCTTTTCTTTTACCGACATATCCTATATTGTCGATGTTTGATGCCGCGATTCCGGTAATTGCATAGTATGGGGATTGTTGGTACTAGAGTATACGCGAGACTGAGGTACGCGAGACTGAGGTAAAAGAGACGGAGACGAAGATTTTTATACAGGTTCGGGCCCCTGAATTGTCAGGTAATAACCCTACATCCTGTTGGCCGAAGCCGTTGTTGCTCTTATTCGCCATAATCACATCAGTACAATATTTGGGGTAGCCTATCTAACTGTTATCGACATGGCGATCTGAAGGTCTGACTCGTAGTCGACAACATGGTAGTTTTCCTCCTCGAATCCGTGCCCGGCGAGATCAGAGACAACGCTAGATCCCTACGGCCGGATAGGGTCGATCCAGGTGTATCTCTGATGTCGATATCCGGCATCTTGTCTTGGCGTATGTTGGCTTCTATGTTGATCTTCTGTCTTCTATGGTGGGTGTGCTGATTGTCTGTCCCATGGTGGTTGTCCTCCCTCTCCTCCTAGGGGGTATTGTATTTATACGCATAGGTGTCTCCTTGTCTAAGTAGAACTAGGGAAACCAATATGGATACAATCCGAGTAGTCCTTGTCGTTTCCATGTAGAACTCTGGTTGTCTTTCCTTATCCGGAACTCCTCCTATATCCGCAGGTTGTTTCTGTATAGGACATAGTATGTGGTGGGCCCTGCCGAGATTTAGTCAACTACTATTAGGTATGTGGTATCTATAACCTGACATATATAATTAACAATGAGAAAAAAAATACTACCTCCATATTTTTGCCGAAGGGGATATCGCTCTGCGAGAACCCGAAGGGGATATCCTATAGAATTTTTATAACCTGACATATATAACTAACAATGAGAAAAAAAATACTACCTCCATATTTTTGCCGAAGGGGATATCGCTCTGCGAGAACCCGAAGGGGGATATCCTATAGAATTTTTGCCTGATTTATGAACTCCAACCTGTATTTATGAAATATAGCTTGTACGACTTGTCTTCCAGTTCTTTTAAAGTTGAATTTCAGCTTGGAGATGAACTTTAGAAAAAAAGTATATGAAAAAAAAAAGGTTTGGAGGACCATTTGAGAAATACATAAACATTTGAAGGACATATAAAAGAAAAGACAGACTACTAAGAGCACCGCAATGATAAAGTAAAGTGATATCTATATAAAACATGTACATCTCAGCAATAGACTAGATTAATAGTAAACCACTTCAATGGTATGTCTACATGGGTATCTATAGCTCTCTAATCCATTGCCTCGTTTTTCTCTATAGACTATTTCCAGGTTAGTAGATAGCTTTACTCTCTCTCTTCATTTAATCTCTTTCAAGTAGGAAAATATGTTGATATGGATCTCTTGTAGAGAGTTTATAGATAACCATTGTGGGTGCCCTAATTGATTGACTGGTCCAAAGACTCAAACAGGTCCCTAATCCCACGCACACGCACCCACTAATTGCGGCGCCATCAATCATTAACAAAACCAAACCCACACCCAGAAATAAATAAACAAATCCCCCAATCTGCCACTCAATCAAATCAACCAGATAATATTTCCAAACCAAAAAAAAAACACTTTCTGAAATTTTCTCTCTCCAATAGAATCACGCGTCACGTAATCCCCGCCTCGGACCACATGCACACGCAAACCCACCGCCAATTTTGCGCCGAACCCCCTCAAATAAATAATCAAAATAATATAATTTTACGCGAAAATAACCTTGGGAATTTCGTTTTTATTTTCGAGCTCCCCTCCTCGCCGCGTCTCCTCTTCACTCCATCCATCTTCGCCATCTCCTCCGCCTCGTGGTCGGCGCTCCACACTCTACCCTCGCCGAACCTTCTAGAAGATCCGCCGCCATGGACGACCCCGGTGCGGCCGATCCGGGGGCGCGCCCCCACCACTTGTCGCCGGGGCAGCCGCCGGTGGTGCCGCGCTCCCCGACCCCGCTCGACCTGTCGAGCGCCGCGGCGGCGGCGGCCGCGGCGTCGTACAGGAGGCTCTCGCCGTCGCTCCGACCGCCCGCGCACCCGCAGGCGCGTCTCCCTTCGCCGTACCCCCAGATCCCCTCCTCGTCGTCGGCGGCGGCGGCGGGCTCGTCGGGGCACCACGCGCGGTCGCTCTCGCAGCCGCTCTTCTTCTCGCTCGACTCGCTCCCGCCGCTGCCGTACGCCGATCTGGCCGCGCCGCCCGCCATCCCGCCCTCCCCGCCTTCCTCGAGCTCCGACCCGCCGCCGCCAGGGCTGCCGCCGCGGAAGGGCGGGCACCGGCGGTCGCAGAGCGATATCCCCTTCGGGTTCTCGCACCTGAGCCCGCCCCTGCCGCCTCCCGCGCCCGTGAAGCGGGAGGCCGCCACGGCGGCGGAGGGGTGCAGATCGGACGGCGATGACTTCGCCTTGTACGACCTCGTCAACTCCTACATGGACCTCGACGGGATGGAGGCTCTCAACTCCTCCGAGGAGCGGCACGAGGACCGCGACAGCCGCGCCAGCGGCACGCGCACCGGGAGCGTGGCCGACAGCAGCGAGAACGAGGCCGAGAGCCACTCGACTCCAGTGGAGAGGAAGGACGGAGGAGGCAAATCCCGGCATTGCCGCAGCTTATCGGTGGACAGCTTCATCGAGAAGCTCAACTTCGACGAGTCACCGAAGCTGCCACTGCCGTCTCCCAGCGGTGGCCTATCCAGAAGCGGGAGCGGGTCCTTGGATGGCGGCGCTGCATCTCTGTTTGGTGCTGAGTTTGCCAATGGGGAGTTCACTGAAGCTGAGAAGAAGAAGATCATGGCAAATGAGCGCCTTGCCGAGATCGCTTTGACTGATCCTAAGAGGGTTAAAAGGTGAGAGCAATTATTCATAGAGTGGGAAAGAGGGTTTTGGTTTCCTTCTGAAATTAAGCATTCTGACCTGTTAACATTTTACAGAATTTTGGCAAATCGGCAGTCTGCGGCAAGGTCAAAGGAGCGTAAGATGAGGTACATTCAAGAGCTTGAGCACAAGGTTCAGGTGTTGCAGACAGAGGCTACCACACTCTCAGCACAGTTGACAATGCTGCAGGTTTGTTTTGCATACTGTGAAGTTGCTGTGTATTTTAACTCATTATTATGATCATTTAGTCACCCTTGCCTTGATGCGCTTGTTTACAGAGGGACTCCACTGGACTAGCCACTCAGAACAATGAGTTGAAAATCAGGCTGCAAGCAATGGAGCAACAAGCACAGCTAAGAGATGGTAATGCTTGTTATCAACCCTCATCAGCATTAGTCCTCATTTTTCCTTATAACAATGAAGTGAAAGGGTATAACTTAATTGGAGAACTAGCAGCATTTGATCTTAAATTATAAAAAATGGTACATTTTGAATGTGCTACTAGGAATCTATGCTGGTTTGATAGACAAGTTTGTCAGCAAGTCATTTCCTTCTTTTCTGTCGTGGCGGTAACTGAAGCCTGGACAGCTGTTTCTTGTTCTGAGGGGGTCTATGAGAGGGGTTGTAGGTTGGGATAGTTTTTGCTTATGTGCATTGGGCACCATAGGGTTTATCAATCACAACCAAACCTCAGATTGCACAAATATTTGTAGTTCAGCTTACTTTAAGAATCCGTTTTCTAATTGCCTCTAAGTTATTCATTTGATCCAATGCACGGTTCCACACCCACACATATCATTGTAGCAATGTTATCTGTGGGATTTTAGTCTTGTATGATCATCTGTAGTGATTTTAGAATAAAACCACAGAACTAGATTGAAATTAACTTTCGGACGCAATTTAGATGCTTAGAAAATGAAAAAAAAATCCTATTGTATATCATCCAACATCAATGTTAGTATATCAAGAATTAGGTCTGAATTTTTTTTGTATTAGTCAATTGTTAATCTAATGTCTTACAAATATCATAAATATTGTTGATACTCTTTGTTCTAGGCGTTGATTACATTTCCTGGCGTTGTTCGTTTATTTTTTGTTGAGTACAGACATCTGATCATATTGATCCAATCTGAGAAATACTAGCCCAATATGTTTTTCCATTATCATAATGTATAAACCTTGCTTTCCTCAGTTCTAAACCATCCTGAGATTTTCTTGTGAACCTTGCTGAACCAGAAAATTCACTCTTGCTTTAACATTTAAAGCATCATTTGCAGATTTGCATTGCAACATAATAGATCTTCTCTAGATCCCTTTTTCTTTCAAATGTGGAGAGCTATGTAGCACTATCTAGTATCTACTGATTACATGAGAGATTGTTGTCTAGCCTTTTAGTTGAAATTTAGTTTAATAGCTTATGCCCTTTAAGAAAAAAGTAGTTTAACAGCATACGGAAATGTGAAAGTCAGGATAACTCCGGCACGAATTCTTTTAGTATTCTCACATTTTCAATTGTGATGTAAGATCCATAATATCTTCTTTTTGTGCTGTTTGTCTTATTGTTTCTGTAATTTTACTGCTAGTGATTGCAGAAAATGTAGTATTTCCCTTTTCACTGGCAGGCAACAAACAAAATGACTTGTTTAATTTGCATGAATCCTTGCTGGGTTGTTGCATAGTTCGTATATATTATGTACATTTGTATGGTCAATTGTTGTGTAGCTAGTTTCTCATTAGGGTTCAATTCTAGTACAGTATCAGCATCGAAACCGTTTAGGCAGCATAATTTACTGTAGTTGGAGTTATAAGTTACTGGTATCTTTAAGTAAGTAGATCTTCTTTTGAGAGGAAGTAACAAGTTGATTTTAATTCATAATGATGAATTTTCCCCAACTGCGAAGCCTACATGTTTGAACTTGCACGTGCAAATGAAAATCTTTATGACATTTTGCAGGTTTGACACTTTTATGTCCAAATTTGCTTTATATTTGCTTGTATCATTTTGTAGGTCTCTCTTGGGAGTTGGTTAAATTATGGAGTCACGTGTATAATCGTCTTCCTTTTGACTATTGAGTGCTTGCTTATTTACAGCATTCATTTTTTCCTCCCAACACATGAAGAACTATTACATTAATGTGAAATGATTCCTATCATATGATTTAATTATGCTGCTGTCTTAAAAGTCTTATTATGACACTCATTTATGTATTTTTCATGATTCATGTGTATCCAGCCCTGAATGAAGCATTAACTGCCGAGGTCCAGCGTCTGAAACTTGCAACTGGCGAGATAACTGACGGTCGTATGTCAAAGGGCCTACAGCAGCAGATGAACTCCCAGCTGATTCAATTGCAACAGCTGCAAATACAGCAACAACAGTCATCGCAGACGACGCAGCAAGGTCAGCAACAACAGCCACAGAAATCCGCATAGATCAAGGTCCAAAAAGCTGGACCTCCTATCGCAAAGCAGTTGATTTGAAATCATGATGAGCATGATGAAATTGAAGGATGATGGTGATCCATGCTGGGAAAAGAAGAATCTTTTGCTTATATATATATATATATATATATATATATATATATATATATATATATATATATATATATATATATATATATCTCAGACAGATTGTAGGATAGGTATGGTGGTATAGCAGCAGAAGATGGGTCTTCTGTTGCGAGTTCTTTTGTTCAAGGTGGTAAATGCCTTGGCTGGAGTATCCTATCTCATCGCAATCGCATCGTATTATACATGAGTACCAGTCGCCTGGCCTGAATAGGAGGCATCGTGTTTAGTCCTATGAAAGATTCTTTCCATGGTGCTTTTGTACTTTTGTCCAAGAGGATAGCGTATTACAAATGTACAACAGTACTTATGCTGGCTGTAATAGTGTAATTACCTATAGCGTTGCTTAGTGTTTCCTGGAGCTTTACATCTCAATGGTATCTACTCCTACCTTACATTTACCGGAAAGCAGCACAGAAATTTGTGATTGTACTTAGGTTTGATATTTATCTCACTTTTCAGATTGTTATCTACTACTGCCTCCATTTCAGGTTATATTTCAGGTTAAGGTTATAAGACTTTCTACCATTATTCACATTTATATAGTTGTTAATGAATCAGACATAACATATATATATGAATGTGAGTAACGCTAGAAAGTCTTATAATATGAAACGGAGGAAGTACAATGTGGGGGCTAAGGCCATGATTAGGGAGCCGAAGATCGTAAGAAGCAACTGGTGAAAACGTGGAAAATGAGTATGTACTGGTAGCTCATTTTATGAACTATAGTTACATATTCTTAGAATCGCGGTGAGAATTTGGATTATTTAAAGAGGTGGAAATTGTGAAAGAAGCTCAGAAACAGGAACTAGTAACATATTGTCAGCAAGAGGATGGACTTACAAGTGAGTACAAAGGGAAAGCAATGTGACACAAGATTCGGTGTGGTCCTTTGTTGCTGGCTTGCTGCTCCTGGAGTTTGTGGCAGCTGTAAAGGCTTTTTGGCACCGACACGAAGCTGCAGGACCCTACTGCCTGGTTGCTTCGTTGAAGGTGCGTAATACATTGGGCCGGCGTTCAGGTGCAGTTAGGCGCCGGGCCAGCCAGTGGGCCGTGTCATCTGATGAGGCTATCGGCCTCAGGGCCCATTTCAAACTAAATAATTGGCAGGCTGAAAGTGATGTTTACAATCAACGTTATTATTTGCTTTTGTGTGGGAGTATTGTTATTACTTTTTGATCGGGGATTTGTATGAGATTATTTCGGTGAATTATTTGCTTTTTGTGATATAGTACTCCGGAAGTCTCATCAAACATTCGCGCTGCACCTCAGGTTCCAGCGAAGGTAATAACCAAAATAAAATAAAATAGAAATGTAGCCGTGGCGCCCGCAAGTGTATTGCTCTGCCGCGAACAACAACAATAGCAGTTAGTAACAAGGAAAACTTCATTTTATATCCCTCAAATAACAATTGAGGTGATTTTAACGGTGGTTTTGGCTGATTTGATGTCCACATGGCATGTTTGACACCTTCATCATCCTACGGGGCGGCTATTTGATGCTTACAATTAGAAAAAAAAAATAAGTAGGACCTAGGTGTCATTGTCATCATCTTCTTCCTCCTTTACCCTATAGATGGCCATAAGGCCCGAGGCCCGATGGCCTGGCCCATGCACGGCACGGTTCGATTGGGGTTGTGCCCGGGTCGACTTGACCCGACAGCTGGGCCGTGCCTGGGCCAATGCCTTGGCACGGTGGGCCGGCCTGGCACGGCCTGGCCCGATCCAGTGAGGGAAGAAAAATAGTTTAGGGACTAAAATTAGACTTAACGCAGCCATATAATTCACGCCTAAGAGAGAAGGGATGCAAAATAGACTTATTACAATCATTTCAGACATTGCAAAAAAAATGAGGAATGGAAATTAGAATTTTTTTTAGGAATAAGATCACTTTGACTCCCTCAACTGACCACCGAATCTAAATCGTATCCCTCAACCGCAATACCAGAAATCTTGACCCCCGAACTTACAAAACCGGTGCAATTTGACTCCCTCGGTGGTTTTGGAGGGTGGTTTCGCTAACGTGGCGCACACGTGGCAGTGTTGACCTAGGCATTGACGTGGCACTAATGTGAAATTAAAATAAAAATATATGCGGCCCATTTGTCATTCACAAAAAAAATTGTGGGACCCACTGGTCCCACATGTCATCCTCCCTTATCCCTTCTTCCTCCTCCCTCTCCTCCCTTCTCTATCTCTCCCTCTTTCTCTTCATGCGAGAGCGGCATCCGGATAGGCGGCGGCGACGGCGGACAGAGCGACGATGGCGTATAGTGGGGGTCAAACCACCCCAAAAGCTTTGGCGAGATTCGGAACACGGTGGAGGAGTTCATCGTCGCCGAGATGTCGTAGCTGCCGCCGTCGATGCGCACGAGGAGCGTCACCTCCGTCGCGCTTCCGACGCATGGAGATGGCGGCGGCTGCCGCCACATGCCACTCTCCCCATTCGACGTGTACTGGGTCGCGCTGCCGCCCGTCCGCCGCGTCTTCCTCTTCCCGTCCCCGCCACCGCCGCCACCACCACCGTTCGGAGATGTCGTCCGCGCGCTCAGGGACTCCCTCGAGGCGGTGCTCCCGGCGTTCTACCCCTTCGCCGGTGCGCTGGTCTACTCTCAGGAGGAGGAGGAGGAGGAGGAGGAGGAGGGGTCGTTGTCCATCGTCGACTCGTCGTGGAGACTGGCGGTGGCGTGGCGTTCGTGGAGGCAGAGACGGACCTCGACTTCGAGAGGCTCGTCGAAGAAGGGGAGGAGCACGACGAGGACGCGCTGCGGCAGCTCGTCCCGGACATCCGTTGGGATGAGCTCCCCACGCCCGTCATGGCAGCGCAGTTGATGGAGTTCGTCGGCGGTGGCGGGGGCGTGGCGGTGCACCACGCGGCGGCGGACGGCCGCGGCCTGTAGCGATTCTTGGAGATGTGGTCCCCCTCCGCCGCCACAGCGGCCGTGGCCACCGGGATGCGGCACTTCTCCCTCCTCGGCGTGTCCCACCCCTTCAGCTCCTCCTCCATCGCCGCCACCTCCTCGCCGTGCTCCATCTCCACCTCCATTAAACTTCTCTCCTCCGGCCTCTCGACAACTGAAGCTACTGCCGCTGCCGCTTCAACGCCGTGAACCCTCGCCGGAGTTGGTTGAGGAGGAGATGGCCAAGGACGGGGAGGGGGGAAGAAGGGATAAGGGGGAATGATATGTGGGACTAGTGGGTCCCACAATATTTTTTTGAATGACAAATGGGCCTGCATATATTTTTATTTTAATTCCACATCAGCGCCACGTCAATGCCACGTGGTACAAAGACTAGGTCAACACTGCCACGTGTGCGACACGTCAGCGAAACCACCCTCCAAAACCACCGAGGGAGTTAAATTGCACCGGTTTTGTAAGTTCGGGGGTCAAGATTTCTGGTATTACGGTTGAGGGATACGATTTAGATTCGGTGGTCAGTTGAGGGAGTCAAAGTGATCTTATTCCTTTTTTTTTTGAAGAAGCACGATAGGCTGTCGTGCCTTTGGGCCGGGTCGGCACGGCTCGAGTCGTATTGGGCCATACCTGAGCCGATGCGTCAGCATGTGGGCCGGCACAGCACGGCCCGGTGTATTGGTCGGGCCGTGCCGTCCAGATGGTGGTCATCTATACTCTGCCCCTCTCTCTCTCATCTTCTCTCTCCGGCAGTCGGGCGCAATGGGAAGGGAAGCCACCGCCAAGAAGTTTGGGAAACAGCCGCGATGGATGGCTGAATCCTCGCCCGCCCACACCAACCCACGTCGCCGCCGTAGGAATCTGGTATAGTATAGTAGTACTCCCTCCGTATTTTAATGTATGACGCAGTTGACTTTTTGATAAACGTTTGACCTTTCATCTTATTTAAAAAATTTATGTAATTATAATTTATTTTATTGTGACTTGATTTATCATCAAATGTTCTTTAAGCATGACATAAGTATTTTTATATTTACATAAAATTTTTGAATAAGACGAGTGGTTAAACGTTGATTAAAAAGTAAACGGCGTCATACATTAAAATAAAGCAATATTTTGCCGTGAAATTACAGGTCAAAACTTGCCTCTGCATGCCTGCCTTAACCTGAAATTCCATGGCCCGGCCAGTAGTCTCCGGTGGTCGTCTCACCTGCACTCTATGTAATGTACGCAGTTGAAATTCCATGTCTCGTTTTCGCCAACCTCCCGCATGCAGCTTCACCATCACTAGCTTTCGCCTTGTGCGGTGATAATAATATGAAACAGAACAGCTAGCTTGCTTGCTTAATTTGCACGTGTGTGTTTAGTTTAGGCCGGCCAGGCCATGCAATGCAAATGATGCATGCATCTGAATTGAACAGATAGCTTGTTGTCAAATGTACGGTCAAACCGTACCTTACAACTCGATCGATCGATCCCTGCGTGTAGATATAATCCGGCTTAACTAACTAACTTGCATGTACACATGTTACACACGCAACAATAGACGGATATCAATATATCGATCGATATGCGTGTTTATAAATCGATCGGATCATCGGTGCAAAGCTACATGTGACCGGGTAACTTATATATGTTCTTCACCTGAATGGTATATATACGCTAGGGTCCTAGGGAAGAAATTGAATTAAAGCAGCTCGATCGCGGAAGACAACTTAATTTAATTGGCTTCTGAATTTATAATAAAAAGATAATACTACTATTAAAATCATCTTACTTTGACCTATCAACTTCTTGTAACTTAGCATATACTCTCTCTTTTTCAAAATATAGCAACGCATTTAGGATCGGACGAGACACATATATAATCTGAATATTCTCTATATCTAAAATTGTAGTATTAGGATTTGTTTCATCCGATTTTAGATTATTATATTTTAAGATAAATTTAGTAACAGCTAGTATAATCTTGTCGTTTAGCAGCTAGCACATAATCTACCTTTTCTGCGTGTACAACATGTGCCAGTCTAAGACGACGACTAAATACTCTCTCCGTTTCGAAATGTTTGACACTGTTGACTTTTTAGCACATGTTTAACCATTCGTCTTATTTAAAATTTTTTGTAAAATATATAAAATTATATGCCTACATAAAAATATATTTAACAATGAATCAAATGATAGAAAAAGAATTAATAATTACTTAAATTTTTTAAATAAGACGAACGATCAAACATGTTTAAAAAAATTAACGGTGTCAAATATTTCGAAACGGAGGGAATACTACGTAGTACTACTATTAACTAACTTGACAGGGATCGATATCCATGATCGGTTAATGGCTTACGTACGGGGCTTGCTCTTGAGGTCTGCATAATTCTTGTCCTGCCACGCACGCACGCATACACTATTTTTGCACAAATTCGGTATGCCTCCTTTTCCTATCGAAACTTCTAATCATTAGCCTCTCTTAATTCGATCTCAAAGCAATTATATAGTACGTGTTGATCCATTGTATG